AGTTATAGGGGTTCAAAGTTAATAAATATGCCAATGTTTATACATTTCCAGGCATGTAAATATTTATATAGTCATTCTTATTGAAAGGTAAAACTAATGGAAAAATACATAAAAATATTGAGAAAGTTATATAAAACATTATTTAAATATCTTTATCAATAGGGTAGGTTAGGTTAGGTTAAGTTAGGTTATCGAGTTTTGTTCAAGTGACCACCCTCTTTCGATCCCCCCTACCCCAACCCCCATCTAATCCCATAACTTTTTATGAGGGTGAGACCGCTACGAACTTTTTATGGTACAGTGGTGGGGGAGACCTCTTCTTTCGATCCCACCCACCCCCACCTCCTTTTGGGGTCGGGGCCATCATCTAGACATTTACCCAACACTTTTTAAAGTTCTTAAGGAGACAAATTCTAAAATCATACAAAGGATTGATAACTCTTCTGAATATTCTAATCAATGTATTTCAAACAATTATGCTCAATGAATTAATAAAACTTGCAAATATACCTTACAAATAGATATGCATACGGGTATTGAGATAGTTCAGCAAAACTTCTTCAAATCGCTTTATTAAGATAATTAAATCCAAAATTTTGGCGAAATACAGCTGACTTTTATTTAAGGATGCTTGGAAGGTACAATCGGAGACAAGAATACATAAAATTAGAAATTCGTGATTAATTAGGTTTTGCAGCATATCATGAGGTAAATAAATACTATCTATACTAAAAAAAAAGTATACTGTTTGAGAGAAAATTTGGAATTTGACCAAAAACTTTGAATAAAATAAGAAATAACGAATAATATGGAAAATTTTTAACTGACTTTTGGCAGTGAATATGCCTTGATTTCAACTTCGAAACAAAAAAATATTTAGTTTCAATCTCTATTAATAATGAGCGTAAAACTTTTTAATATGTTTAAATAATAATTAAAACTTTAAAATTGCATTTATTTCAGACAATTATAAATATTATCATTATATTATCAAGTAAAAACGAGATTTTCAGCTAATTTTTCATTTTTTCCTCGATAACCATTTAGTGAATTTGAATAACCTTACGCTAAAGTGATTCTCCAGAGTTCAAGTTACTTATTATAAAAGTTTGAAATTTCTGGTAGCTTTTTTTCTGTTAATAAAAATAAATTTAATCTGTTCGGTTAACGAATCTCCATAAAATGACGTGTAAAATTACAATTTTTTAAAATCTCAATAACTTTTTAAGGGTTTAATGAATCGATTTGTAATTTTTACAAGAGTTTTAGAATTGAATGAGGATCGTTCTTCCAAATTTTTATTTACAGAGCTAAAGCTGAAGGTCGAACCTTAATAACAGTTCATTTTAAGGTAAGGGAGAAGCTGATATTTTTATGAATGCATAATAGAATGTAATATTTAGCATTATTACGTGTTTTCTTTAGCACTACAATTATTTTTGTATACTTTTTCGCTACTCTCAATTTTATTACGCCAGTATTTTACTCGGCTAGGCCTTATGATTTCAAGTGAGAAAAGTCACACTGGAAAATTTTTTGAATGTGGAGTTTGCTATTCCAGTTTACTTACTCCCAATTAGGCGCGATGGAACAAATTCAGCCCATGTGTTGAATTTTAATAGTAGGAGAAGGGAGAGAGAAAGGGGGGTTATAAATTGGTATATTAAAAAAGCAATTCATTGCATAAAAATGGATAATATAGAGTCTAAAAATTGCGTTTACAAATTTAAATACAATTTTTTCCGAAAGTTTGAACCGTTTGGCAAAGCTTATATGTTGATTAGTCAACACAAAAAACATATCCTCCGGCGCCACTGCTTTTAATCTTCTTCTGTCTTCTGCTGGACCTGCCTATTTGAGCATTTCTCTTCATTTTTCGTTCATTTTTAATGTGTATTATTAGTTGTATTATACGTAAACTTGTGCTATAAATCGGACTAATCATCTACATAATATGTCATGTTGGGAGATGGGAGATCATCAAAGGCATCAATGCAGGAACTTTCTTTTGTTCGTTTTTATTAATTTATTACTTGCAACGTACTCAATCTGGTTTAACAAGATAAATTTGGTTCAAATACAGTTATGATATTTCACAAAAACAACACGATTAATCATTGTGTAATGTTCAATTCTATTTTAAATACTTAAACCTTAAACCTATTGTGGAACAATGGTTGTCCTTTTTATTTTAATAATAGTACACATTTAATTTGATAAATAATAAGTACGATGATGACGCTATTAAATTGATTGCTTAATGTTTTTTCAGAGATAAAGTTTATATTAGACGCCACCGTTACGTCGCAAAGACAAAATATCATAATTATGATATTGAACAATGTATATACCACATGTTTTTATCATGAACGTATTTTAATCGGGGAAGATGTAGTAAGTGATAGTTTTAAAAATTAACAGGCAATTTGTTATAACTCTTTCTTTGATTAAAATAATGGGTTGTTAATTACAATGAAAAAGAACATGTTTAGCAAGTATCAAAAATTGCAGCATTTAGTTACGTATTCTGTATGGTATAGTTATATTTTATGTAGTTTTTAATTTTCCAGACTTGAAAATGTATAGGTAACGGTGGGGATTAGGGAACACCTCCCCAATTTTCCTAAAATTTTAGAATGTTTTACTATTCGTCATGCTCATTAAGAATATATAGAGGGTGTTCGACAATTCATTGGCTAAGCCATAGCGTAAAAAGTGAAAATGATAGAGAGATCAACAAAAACTATTTTAATTACAAAATTCATAAAAAACATAACTGTACCCTGTGTAGTCACCTTCAACTTTCATTTTTCAAATAGTACCCTTAATATATGTTTATAGAAACGTTACCACCATGCGATGCGAAATTCAACGATATGTAACATGACACGCGGCAGAATAAGAATAATTGGTAAAATCGAGCAAAGTGGATATACTGCAATAATGGATTTAAGAACTGATCCGATGATTCGAAGTCGATGGCGTTCAGTCTGAATATTTACTAAAATACCTACATGCTGTAATCTTACATTTTTGTGTTTCCGTATTCTCTTGTTATATAATTGTAATAAACCGTGTTTTCCACTGCACAACCGTATGGTCATTTTTGCCTGGTCATTGATGTCCTGCAAGATGTCATGTTACATACCATCGGATTTCGTATCGCATGGTAGTTTCGTTTCTATGAACTGATATTAAGACATGAATGTTGATAGTGGTTTCTCCAGGGGCAGCTACTCCCAGATGGTGGTTGCTTTTGGGTTTTGTAAGTTTGCTGCCCGACTGTTGAAGTGACTTTTGTTTCATCTCTTTATCTTTTTCACTTTTTGGGCTAGGATTTGACCAAGAAACTAGAACTATGGTATGTATCTTGGTTGCGGAAACCAACTTCTATAGTTTTTAAAAATTAAAAACTACGACGACGTCTTATCTCACATATCATAGATGTAAGATTAGGTAGGGCGGGAGGGGGTGGTGTTAAAAATTTTAGAAAATATTTAACAACCCTGTCCCCTCTCCCCCTTACACCCTCGACCCAATCATACATGAAATATTTACGGAATGGCAAGTTTTTCGATTTCTAGCAAATCACTCAACTAAGATTAGCTTAGGGTGAGCGGGTGTGTGTACAAGCTTTAAACAACCGGAGGGTCTTCTTCGACTTTCTCTTACATTGAATTATGCAAAGGTGTCCAAAGATTTTAACACTCCTCTTCCATTAATTTACGTAAGGTTAGGCTAGGGAGAGGGGGAGGGATATGTTTTAAAAATATGTACAGTGTTAAAACCCTCCTCCTCCACCTCTCATTTTCGATACAATCTAACATGCAATGGTGTTAAAATTTTTAGACATATTTTAAACAACCTCCTCCCCTCTCCCCTCGATTTAATCTTGCATGAAATATTTGCAGGATGACAACCTTTAAGCAACGTCTCTCCAACTATCCCCTCTGTCTTTGATCTTGCAGAATCCAATGTAAGAGGAAGGGGGGATGCGAGGGGATGGTGGTTTAAACATTTTACTTATTTTTTAACACACACCCTCTCACCTAACCTAACTTTACATGAGTGATTTGCGAGATACCAAATATTTCATGTAAAATTGGATCGAGGGTGAAAGGAAGAAGGAGAAAAGGGTTGTTAAAGTTTTGTCTAAAATTTCTAACTACCACCTTTTTAGGTGTGATTAGGTTGACAGGGGAGGGTGTTAAAAATTTGGATAGCTCTTAAACAATCCCCCCTCTCTCTCTCTTCCTTAGGCTCCTCTTGTATTAGATTCCGTATGATTTAAGGTTGAGGGCAAGATGAGAGGTTTTTTTTTTATTAAGACATGCTTTCTGCGTTCAACATCAAAATTCAAAAATTTTAAACCAAAGAAACATAAAAAATCCACATGGATAGGAAGAGGATAAATAGATGAATCGACTGACAAAATACAATACGGCCATTTGAAGAAACGATATTAGGTATTCGTGTTTGAAGTTTTTAAATTTTGGATTTTTTTCTTAACACCCAGTATGAATTATGAAGCTCAATTTTGATTTAATATTAGCCCTAAGACATGACTATAATTGGTAAAGATTTCAACTCTGTAAGTTATTTTTTGTGGTTATGTTATGATTTTTTATAATTTGGATAGCAGTTAACAAAGTTACCGAAAAATTTTGTGTTTCATACAAATTGGTCGTAAAAAATATAACATTCCATTTAAAATAACAAAATTGGCACCAACTTCCGGTATAACCGGAAGCGGCCGACAGTTGAAATTATTTTAGTAAAAAAGGATCATTCCATGTCGGAAATGCAATCCCCTGGTTTTACGCACGTACCACTGAACTGCAGCAACACAACAGTACGTACCTAAGAGCATAGGCCGCAGAATCATTGAACTTAATTAGTTCGACATTAATGTATAATCATTATTATTAATGAGATACTTTTTTTGCAGCGTAATTCAATGTATTAGTGAATTAATTTTTGAATTAATTTTACTCCCTACAAATAAGCTCAAATACGGTAGGAAAAATTGTTGCTGCTGTCGCATTTTTTCCTCAATAATTTGAAATTATCTGTAGTGGGTAAAATTAATTTAAAAATTACATCGACTTTCGCCACAAAAATTAAAAATATCTCCTTAATACTTAGTCAATTTAATCAATAGTAGAATTGCTGCAATGTGAGGTTAGTTCATGGTTAGCTTTTACCGTGGAAGATAGGTCACTGCATGGAAGGGAAGAAATATGAGTCAACCAATTAGAGACATGTTCCACTGCCGCCGTCTTATCTATGGCTGTCATCTCATGCTGATAATTTCGTTTTTAAACGGCCTCGCAGAAGTGCTGAATATGGTTTGTGGAGCTTGTACGGAGCAGTAGTAATAAAAATCGTCAATGAAACCCGTATAGTTTATGTGTAATATACTGTGTAGTGCCATTTAATTTGTGAAAATGAGTATTTATAAAGGAAGGAGTAGAAAAGAATTTTATCTAACCTCATCTTTATACGATTCAATAGAAGACCAGAATATTAGGTATTACTTACTTGTTAACAAACTAGATCGTTTTTCAAAAATATTTACAAAAAGAACTTCTAGAAAGCGCACAATTTATTGTTGTCGTTTTTTTCTTGAATTAACAAAAAACAAATCATTTGTACTTATTCCGCGATTGGATAATGAAGAAACATAAAAATCACAGAAATAGGTAAAATAAAAACTTGCTTTTTTATGTTTCCAATAGTTTAATAATAAACCTGTACAATTATTTCCACACGTAGTGCTTTTCTTAAGAGTGTATATTTATTAGTACTGGCAATTGTATAAACTAATAGTAGTACTAATTATACATACCTAGGTATATACCTACTCTTAAAAAAAACATCATACCTATTCTGAAACAATTGTAGGTAGTTCTTCATTAAACTATTGGAAACGTAAAAAAACAAGTGTTTATTTTTTTTTCTTTGAAAAAAAAAAAGAAAAATCATTCTCATTAGCAAACTGCTAATTGTTAAATAGATACTTAACTAAATTTTTAATATTTCAGTGCTGTTGAGTTCCTCTTAAAAAAAGGTGCAAATGCAAATATTGTTTTACCTAGAGTAGGAATAGCACCTTTTCATCTTATTATTGGGAGCAACAATGAAGATTTCGCAAAAACTGTAGTGAAACTTATCCTGCAACATGGTGGAAACCCTAATATACAGTTAGTACATTTTCAAATGCTTTTCGTTTTTTCAAGCAAACATGTTTAGCTCACTTGTTAAATGTTTAGCGTTTTCTATATTAATTTANACAGGCAATACCCAAACATCCTTCAGAGGCTTGTTGTCTGTACGAAGGTTCGGTTGAGTAGCTTATAACTAACTTAAATTAAAACTAGAAAACTTAAACTTAACTCCATTATACCACGTTTTTCCCGTGAAACGTGATAAAAAGTATTCTATGTCCTTTTTCTGGTTCTAAGGTACCTCCCCACCAATTTTCAGCCAAATCGGTTCAGCCGTTCTTGAGTTATAAATAGTGTAACTAAACTACTTTCTTTTATATTTATAGATATGTATTTCTTAAAAAATGTAACTGCAACTTCAAAAATGTATTAGTAAGTTATTATACAGCAAGACTGCTATTGCATTGTCAAGTATGTTACGATTTTGTAAGCTACATCACGTGCTCAGGTATCAATTTTTTATTTGTTTTTTTATAAACATTTGAACCTTTTATATTTTTAGCTTAATTGGCAGTTTATTATATACTTTAATCTCCTTTATGAGACTATTTTTGGTACTTATTGGACCAAAGCACAACTTTCTTTGGCGGAAGTTGTTCGACTTCTGGTAGAGCTGCTAAATCTTTATCAAATAGTCTGAGTTTATTATCATTTATCAGTAACATTACATTCAATTGGTTAATAAACGGTTGTACAATTAGAACGGGGAATTAGAATTTTTACATTCGCTTTAATAATAATCTCTAGCACAGCTTCTAACTCGCCAATTACCCTCACTCCACTTCCTCCATATCTTCTTGTAATTCTACTACCGTTACTATAAGACGGTAACATTTTCTCGACGTCTATTTCTCGTGTACCATTGCAACACGACAACCAGTATCTATGTAATATTTAAACATTGAACTGTTGTTATTGACTTACTTGATCTGATTTTTGGTACTATTGTCTATTTTCAAAAGGTCGCTATTACTGTTCGTTTCAAGAAGTTAGAGATATGCCCTTCCCTTTATTAGGATGTGCTGTAGCATAATTCCAAATTCAATCATATTTGTCTGCGGAGCTCATTTCTCCACCGATCATCGAGCGAGAACTAGAAAAAAGTGTACAGTACCATTTGCAAAATTATTTAAACTGTCTCGGTAACATTTAAGAATATGCTTTATTTAAAAACATATTTAGCCAAAAATAATAACAAGTGAATTAACTTAACGTTCTACACACCTATAAAACTTTTGCTTTGTTTTCTATTGTTAATTTATATACATTTTTGTTTTAAGAAATTGCTAAACATTTTCGTCTAGTACTGTACAGTTCTAGCCGATCTCCTAAGACCGCCCATCGAGAGCTCTGCTCGTTCAAGCTTGTTCCAACTATTTCTGTCTTGCTCACGCCTA